ATCGCATTGCCTTTACTTCCACCACACGCAGAGGGTTTGCCACTTTGCCAAGGCCAACCCCCACTTGTGGACTTGGTCTCATCCCTGATCATCTCTCCCTGACCTGTTCTGCCAAAAAAAATAGACACATTTATATGCTACGTCACATTTTACAAAAGATATTCACATACTGATCCTTCACTTCATGACCTTATTTCTTAAAAGAGCAATCTTCCCTCCCTGCGTTTATTTCTGTACCCTTGGTCACTGATTAACTAACCCTTGGTAACCTGGCTCCTGATCCTATCACTCTACTGAAATTGCTCTTTTTAAGATAATTCATTCACTCATTCATATAGTCCACATAAATTTATAACCACCTAGTATGTGTCAGGCCCCGTTCTAAGCACTGGGATATAGCAGCGAATAAACAAATTTCTTTCCCTTAGGAGCATACAATCTAGTTGGGGATGCAGACAATTAGCAAGTAAACATAAAATAAGATATCAAGCAGTGACATGAATAAAAAAATATTATGAATAAAAAGTAAAGTAAGGAAAAAGAAAGTAAGGGATGTGCGTGCTGTTTTAGATGGTGTGGTCAGGGAAGGCCTCTTTAAAAAGGTGAAATTTGATCAGAGGTCTAAAGAAGTTAGGGAGTGAGCTGTTTGGAGGTCTGAGGGGTGGAGAGAGCATTCTGGGCCTAGGAAAGTGCAAATGGCAAAAGGCCTGAGACAGAGGCCTGCTTGGCTTAAATGAGGAGTTGCAGCTTAAATGAGGACTTTATGCTTTGAGGGGAGTAAGTGAGGAGGAAAGTCGTAGGGTATGAAATCAGAGGGAGCAGAGAGGGGACCAGATAATGCAGGGCCTTGAGCCCATAATAAGGACTCGGGTTTATATTTGTCAGTTATGAAAAAGGATTTTTCAATGATCAACAAGTGACTTTTCTCAACACTTAACCCCTTCATCTGCTCTAGAGCAAATGACACTTTAACCTTAATTTATTTAAGAAACCTTTGCTGGGCACACATTAAGTGCTAGCCTAGGTATTGCTGGAGATGCATACAAATAGGAACAAAGCATAGTCTCTGCCTGCCAGGACTCACTGCCCCAGAGGAAAGGCAGAACTGTCACCGGTGAATAATGGTGCCCCTTGGGCAACACTGGACAGAACCATGAACAAAATCCCAGGGGGACATAGAGAGATGCCATCATCTCCCCTGCAGCCTCTCCTCTTTGAAGTAGCCTTATCTTGATTCATCCTCTTCCTTATCTCTTCTTCAGCCTTCAACTCCACATCCAGTTTCATCTCGTGAAGATACAGTTTAGATGCCACCTCTTTCAGAAAGCTTTCCTTGAAGTCTCCCACCACTTGTGCTCTCCTCCTCCCATGATTCTCCCAGCATCTTGTTCCTGTTTTTTTCATGATTCCTTTCCATTTTTCCCTGAACTGGACCGTGGTTAGTTGTATAGGTTTCTTCCTCCGGATATCTCACTGCCAGTCATGCCCTGATACTGATGGGATACTTCTGTCAGTATCTTGTTATCTTTGCACAACACAAAATCATTGATTATATGATGATTACTGTCAGTGTTTCCAGAAAAGGAAGAGGCAGTGTCCCCACAGAGGTCAGTCACTGGAATTAGTGGCTGAGGGAGGCCATGGGCTCATCCTGGGAGAGCTTCGTGAACCGCTTGGGCAACAGGAAGCAACAGGAGCTGCCCTCAGGATTTGAGACCCACCACCTTCCCCCAGATGGTTAGAGAAGAGGAGTAAAATATTCCAGCAAGATCCTTCAGCCAAACCACCCTGCACTGACCCCTCAGCTTTTCCAGGACTGGTATTAAGAGGGATTGAGTGGTATTGATGTGGGTGGTGGCCTCTCCTCTTTCCGTTTTTCGATTTTTAGTTCTTAAAAACTACATTCCAAATGAGGGAAATGAAACTACTAAAGACTCTCCCCCAGCAGCTAGCTGACGTGGGGGCAAGAGAACAATTCCCAGGTAAGGCCCCAAAGGAAATCCCCTCCCTGTCATGTGCCGAGGCCAGAGAAACGGGGGAGGCATTAGCTCACTGCTTGGTCAGGCCCAGTCAGCAAGGTGAAGGTACAGGGTGAAAGAGTTGCCCTATCTATGGCTAGGGACAGAGAAGCCAAGGCAGAATGGAAAATACCACAGGGGAGAGCGAGAGGACCAAGTTCTTGGACCCGGAATGAACTACCAGTTCCAGAAGTAGACCCTGGCACTCCATTGTGGGTGCAAGAGACTGTACTCTTCTCTCACAGACTCACCTGCAGGAAGGAAACTAATCCTCATTTCCCCCACTGGATCCTTTCCACACTTGGTCTCCAACTCTGATGTGTCTCCCGTCACAGTCTCTGTTATAGGTTTCCCTATCCCCCAGTCCTAAATGCTGTCTGGTTATCATCCGGAAAAGCAGTGGGAAGGGAGACAGAAGCCAAAGCTCTTTTGGTCTCTTTGGGAGACTGAGATGTCTTACCAGTGACACACTATTATAAAGCCCAGTTTAGGAAAGAAAAAAAAAAATCCTCTGAAGACAATGCTTAGAAAGTCATAGACAATGTAGGTTTACTGCCTTCCTTTCTTTTTTCCTTCTCTTTCCTCCTTCCTTCTTTGATCCAATATTTACTGAGCCTCTTTATGTTCATTGGGCAGTATACTTTTTAGAATAACTCATGACCCCTTCCCTCAAGATGTTTATAGTGTAGTTAGGGAAAACAAAACAAAAATCCTAAAAGTTAAAGCACAATACAAGAGATGTCATGAGGCCAGTGAATATCGTAGCCACTTGGTACCACGTGTTCAGAGGAAGAGGTGGAGGCTTCTCAGAGATGGGGGGGCTCAAGCCATGCCTTTGGGATGAGGAGGGTTGTGGTAGTCAGAGAAGAGGGCATTCCAAGCAAGGGAACCCTCTGAAGAGGGTGTACAGAGTGGGGAGCATTTGTTCTATTTAGGGAAATTGTGAGCAGATAAGACTGAATGAAACCCACTTGTGAACCACGTGTTTAATTAAGTATGAGAGGTAACCATGACGAGAGGCTAGAGGTAAGATCAGACTGAATAAGGCATCTGGACTTTTTAGCTGGGAACTGCCCAGCTCCTTGCTTTCACCTCAGATCTCAGAGATCCTGCTGTGCTGCTTGACACCAAACTTCGCTTTGTTACGGTTGAGCAGAGCATGGGTACAAACTTCATGACACATGGAATAAGCTCGAAGAAAGAGGCATACAGTCCCTCAGACTCTCACCATCCTGTGAAGGGATGTGCTTGGCTAGGATGCACCATGGGTTATGTTCCAGTACAAGTGCCCTTATCTCTTCTGATTTGCACAGTGTGGTTTGAAAGGGGACAAGAGCACCCAATCAAGTTGAAGAATCCTAAACCGTGCGGTTGGCGTTGTAGCCTTGCTGGCATAAAAAATGTCCTGTTTTCAGTTGCAAATCAACATTGGTTTTGGCTAGGAGTCATAGGTCTTCTCTGCTAAGACAGCTTGCTGCTGGAGGGAGAACTGTTGGTGCTGTGTGCCAAGAAACTGGCTTGTCTCCTCCACACATCCATTAAGACCACTTTTTAAGGGGTAGCAGGTGCTTTTCTCAAAAGACATCTATAGAGAACTTCAGTGTATAAAACATATAAAAGTGGGACTGCTTGGGATAAAGAAGAGATGGAGATGGCAATTTGTTAGATGTTTGGAGTAGGAAGGACTTGCTCCTGTCCTCTTAAGAAGGACATGTCAATGATAATAATACTATACAGAATCACAAATCAACAGGCTACAAGAGATGCAAACCAACCCTCCAGGACATTTCAACTCTGCAGATCTGATGGGAAAGAGCAGAACTGGAGATTCCTTCTCTGATTCCCCTCATACAGTTGTCCACACTACTCATTCGGCATGCTCACTCTGTCAATATCTTGCCTTCTCCACTAGATGGTAAGCTTCTTGAGAACAGGAGCTATGCGCTAATGCATATAGAGCTCTTAGCATAGTGCCCGGCACTCCTTTGATGGTGGTTGTTATTAATTTGACTATTCTTTTGAATTCTTGGCAAGAGCTAGCAGGGAATTTTGTACACATCAGGTACAAAAAATTCAGCCAAGCAGTCTATGATCAAGAAGTTAAAGGGGAGAGGGGAGGTAGATAGGGTAAAAGGGGTGAAATATGTGATGACAGAAAGAAATCTAACTATGGGTGGTGAACACAATACAACATATATATAT